TTTAACAGTGGTTTGCACTTTCATGCTTTCAAATTACAAGGAAATATGGGAACCATGTGGATATGCAGTGAGTATTAAATTTTGTGTTTATTCAAATTGTGATTTATTTTTCAGCTCATCTCTTTCTGGGTTTGACGTGGTTGCGGGGGTAGCTAACACCCTCCTAGCTTTCAAACCCATTTTTTATCTTTTCTTTAATAGGGATAACAAAAATAGTTAATCTCCTTCTACCTAGTAATTTTTCATTTACTTATGTAAGATGACTCTGAATATTCTCTATATTAAGACAGTTCTAATTTTTAGAATCATACCATTGTAGGCTTTAATTTTGAACTCTTTAATTATTTCAGTATGTATCTAAATGTGATCCTGGAATTCCTTCGTCCCCCTTCTAGTATTTTGTGCAATTCTTAGGATTAATCATGGTTGTTGTTGTTGTTACTGTTGGCAATTTGTAGTATTATTTAAGTATCTGGGGATGGGAAGAAAAACACTAAATATATATAATCCATTTTATCTGGTGATCACAATGATTTCTACAATATTCTAGTCTCCTACACAAAAACTGACCCCACTGGGCATACACATCCCTCAAATATTTTTACTAGTTTGAGAGCCGTGCATACCTGTGGTAGAATAATTGAAGAATGCAGGAAGTGATAAATGAGAAAATGAAAATCAATCCTTAAATCAGTAGGATACCTCTGCAAGTAATTCTATTATGTTTTCTTCTGTTCTTTCTCCATGCATATAAATTTTATAGAGGTAAGGGATATAAGCAATATGGATTTTTAAAAATCCTATTTTCTCCTCACTTAACATATAATGACTTGATTGTTTAAAAAATTAATTTATGAAAATGATATACATTTCAGTATAAAGTATGGGAAGTATATATTTAGAAATAAAATAACTAAAATTGCTCATGATTTTGCATGCATGAATAATTTGTCAAAATCTGGTTTATATCTTTGTTTTTCTAAGCAGGCAACCTTCTAATACTAAAACATGCGATTCCCCTGGACATCCTCGTAGATTCTTAGGGATGTTTATTTAACTCGCACGAGCTCCATCTCTTTGGGCCCCGAAGACCACACTGGTACTGGACGTCATCTAGCCACAGGGAACTCAGGCCCGACTCGTCCAGTTTTCGTTCTGCATGTAAATATGTCCAGAACTGTCCTGTTCCAGAATTGGGAAATGTCAAGTGGCTGTATTCTGCCACGAGAAAGGAATCACCAGGAAAGCTGGTCTGCAGTGAGAATGAAGAGTGCAGCGGACGTGCAGGGAGGGGGAAGGGGGACCCAGAGCAGGCCTGACCTCCCTGCCGCTCACTCTCAGCCCGTCATCCCCGTGGCTGCCTTACTGTCTTTTTCTCCCTGAGCTTTCTGGATGTGGTTTCCTAGTACATTCAACTGGAGAAGCTTAATGGTTTTATCTTTTCTCACTTGGGATGTATATTGAACTTTTCATGTTTCTGAATATATTTAACATTTAGTAGCTGTATAGCTATCATTATATGAATGCGATATAAAGTCTTGTTATTCCTTCAGCTTCTGATATTCAGGGTTTTTAATTATAAATAATTTATAAATAATTTATCAAGGGGCTTAGGCTTTTGCTCTTAAAACAGATTGCTGGGTCAAAGGGGATGTGTAATTTTTTCAAAGATCTTTGATCTGCCTTGCCAGATTGCTCTCCATACCAGTGTATCCGCTTGTGCTCCATTAGCAATGTACAAAAGAGCCTCTGGCTCCACACACCAGCCAGCATTAGATGTTCCTTTTCTAGTCTTTTATATTAATACCAATAGGTTTTGAAAAATAAGTAGGTCATCTGTTTTCTCTACGTTCTGTTCCCAATAGCTTGTGGTCTCACCCCATGCTATCTGCTTATTGTTTTGGTTTTGCTAACTAGGAATAACTATACATCCTGCATCCACAGGGAGATCTTCCACTTGCTGAAAGCTCTAAGGTAAATATGATCGCTGAATGCTTTGTTGTAACAAGATGGAAGAAGAACTGAGGGCCTCAGGTAGGCAGTGCACCCAGTCTAGGTACAATTTGATTTGTTTTGATAGCAGATTAAGTTACCCTTTATAAGATACAGTTTTTAAAAGCAACTCCAGATGATACCAGTGTGGGCAGACAGAGGATGCTCTTAGTTTTCTTCTTCTTTTTCTTTTTTTGAGACAGAGTCTCACTATGTTGCCCTGGGTAGAGTGCCATGGCATCACAGCTCACAACCTTAAACTTCTGGGTTTAAGTGATTCTCTTGCCTCAGCCTCCTAAGTAGCTGGGACTACAGGCACCCACCACATTGCCCAGTTATTTTTATTGTTGTTGTTGCAGTTATCGTTGTTTAGCTGGCCCGGACCAGGTTCGAACCCACCAACTTCGGTGTATGTGACTGGCACCATAACCACTGTGCTACGGGCGCCGAGCCTTAGTTTTCTTCTAATAGTAACTTAAGATTTACTATGTACCACAAACTACATTAAATTCATTATTTGCAGCACTTAATCCTCGCACCAAATCAGTGATCTAATTTCTGTTACTGGCTTTGTTTTATAGAGGACTAGAAAATTACCCCAAAGTCACTCAGCACATGGTAATAGTGATGGGCTGGAGAGAGGCAGTGAGCTAGAACAGCGAGGTCCTGACTCCTGCCAACTGTGGGGCTGTTTCTGCCACACAGTGCCGCCTCTTTCTAATTCTCTGTGTTCCCTTACATCCTTCCACATTTCCGGTAACTCGGTGTCTATCCTTTAAGGACAACAGACACCAGAAAAAGTGTTGATAATCAAGAAAGAGTTTACAGCATGCACTTTGGAACACTTCAGACCAAGGCCAGCTCACTCTACCAGCTGTAGGTGGGGCCTGCTGCCTGCTCTCCCACAGCGTCAACTCACTAAATGGTCTCTGGCATTCGTGTGTTTGGAGAAACTATAGTTGAGGTTATTTAATTATTACATTAACTATGTGTATGTGATCACACAGATACTGGTTTTGCCCAGGAGTTTATATTGACCACTTTCTTACCCTGCACATTCTAGAAAGAAGAAAATATAACATTAGCTGTTTGGGAGTGTTGCTTTGGTAGCCAAACCTGTATTTTTGCTTTGCCACCTACTGGCTTTCTAACCCAGGGGCGTATTAACCTCAGTCAAGTTACTTACGCCATAGTTAATTTTTGTATAAAATGAGGTTAATAGTTTCCACCTCAGAGAGTTTGAATGAATAAATGTGTGAGGTGCTCAGTACGGTGTCAGCACGTGGAATGTGCACAGTGAACACGAACCCTCCTCTCCCGTGTACTGATTGTACTGAGGCCCAGGTCTGTGTCTCTAACCTGCGTGCCCCACAGTGCATTCCCAGCTGCACGTGGAACTTCTCCATTGGCAGCATAAGCTGAACCTCCCCACCCGTTCTGTCCCTGCTGCTTCTGGAGTTTTCTTGGAGATTGCCTCACTTTCTACCCAGTGCTCAGTCTTTCCCCCTAACATGTAACTTGTCCCACTGTCCCTTCCTTAATTCAGGCTTCTCTCAGGAATAAAATTACAGTGGTTCCCTCCAAACCCAGGTGCTTTGCAGACTGCCTACCAGCATGTGTTAGATCTGTCAGCGTTTTTGGCTATAAAAAGCTGAAGAGCTGCTGATAGCTTTGGTTATTTGATTGACTTTCCCCAGTGCTTTTGGTTTCTTTGCCTCGTATTTGTGCTTTTATCTATATCCTGCCTACCTATGCAAAATTAGCAGTTGTGTTTTGAAGACTTATCTTGAAGAACTCTTCATGGTAAGGAGAGGAAGCTGCAAGGAAGAAGATAGGAGGGACAGCAGGAGATGGCCTTGCACTATGACTGAGCTGCAGGTGAGAGCCTCTGAAGTCAAGACCATTACTCGTTCTTGCTGCTTTGAAGTTTAAAGTTTGCATTAAGGATCCTTGTATTTGAGGGTTGAAAAAGGTATTGGATATTTGAAACTACTGAAATAATTTCCCCATAAAGGAAGTGCCCAGGCTAGTAAAGCCTGGTCTTAAAGTGGTTAATTGGTTAAAGACTTTAAGAGGATGAAGGAGTTGAATGCAGTGTGTTCCAGATCAATTGTGGAAAGCTGACCTAGTGGCCAAACTACTAGGTTAAAACTAAGCATGAGAAGCTGACTACTAGGTTAAAACTAAGCGTGAGAAGCTGACGGGGAGCACTTCCAGAAAGGACTCTGTTGAAATGTAAGCCAGTCTGTTCTCTTCTGGGTTAACTTTTGAGAAAGATCTAACAGTCATAAAAGCAAAAAATTTGCTAATTTTGCTTGGATTATTCACTTCATGATCTGTTTGGAAAATATTTTAGCAATTTGGATGTTTTTAGCTTTTAATTTTTATTAGAAATCCTGCAGCTGTCAGGTATGTTTAGAAACGAAAACATTCCCATTGTTGCTGGCCCTAGGTCAGGGAGGAAAGCACCAGTTTTTATTCATTCTGTCATGGGATTTGGCGAGTTGAAAGAGTTTTTAAAAAGGGTATTTAATGTCATCTTTTGAGTTTATAAATTAGAATTCCACATGTAGGACAAGTGAGGCTCTTTATGGGCAAGATCACCCTCAGGAAATGTGGATCTGGAACGGCCCCATCCGATTGCTTTTTTGTATTTTCAGTATTTTTGTTGGAGGAGGTGAACGTCTTTCAGGTAATGTTCCTTTGTTGTACATATTTCTTTGTAAAGCCTTTTTTAATATTTTGAGGCATTTTCGTGTTTCATACCTTTACCTTAAAATTATGTTTTTTGTACTGAGGGTTTTTTTCCTTATTTGTATTGATGTTTCTCCAAGGAAGAAATTTATAGTTATCTGGAAGTCAAAGATAACTAGGGTAGGAATGGATAATCTTTCTTTCTTCTCATCAGTATTACATATTAGTGTTTAAAATAAATTTTGACTGATGTGTATAATCTGATCCAGAAAATACCTATCATAGTAAAGCCAATATACACAGACTTGGAAGAATTTGCAAAATCTGGTTTAATTCTGATTTGGGGAAGGGAGCACATTGTGAACAGACATATGCGTGGGAACCTAATCGATACTAGACAAACAATGGATTAGTTTACAATTTAATAAGATAACCACACATTTAAAGGCTCAAATCGAGTCCAACAGCTGTAAATACAATTCTACATTTGGCTCAAGTGGCTATTGAATATCAAGTGGTGCCAAGTTCCTCTGAAGCACCCGATGACCCCCCAGCCTTGGAAGGAGTTTCACCACAGTCTTAGAAGAAATCCCAGTCATGCCTTTAGCTCTTTTGGCCCTTGGGAGTCATTGCTACCCAAATACAGATGCAGGCCAGGGATTTCCAGTGGCCACATGTTATTGCACAGAGAGGTCTGTTCTAAGCCAGACTCTTATAGCTAAAGAGGTGTGAGATTAGCCCTTAAATAGTGGTCTAGCATTAGCATGGTCTCTAAAAGCATGTTAAGAAATAGATCCTTAGTGATTATGTACCAGCTACTAGTTATCACACTCACTGAAAAGGCAATGCGGCAGCTTCACATTTCACATAAAAGACTAGCATTAGCTGGGCCTGGCTTGCTGCTGGCTTAACTTTCACATAAGTCTGCTGATTATTTTCATTTAGACCCAGGAGAAAGTGATTGTATACCAGCCTTTTCTTCACATAAGATTTGTGTAGCATTAAAATGGTTACGGGTTTATGACTAGCCTATAAAGGCATAAATGTGTAACTCTCTTTGCCAAAACAGAACCATCCCTGTTTTGACTCCTGTCCAGTTTCAAAAAAAAAAACCAAAAAACCCATCCATACAACTTTGTTATTGCACATCTTTCACACAGACTTGTGTATGTATAATAGACATATATCTTAAATATGCTACACATAAAGACTATGGCACTTTACAGAATACATGTTTAACAAAGATTATTACACCACAGAGGTTTAAAAACTATACAAAAGCACAATGTAACTTCATTGAATTAGCACACAGGTTTAAAGAATCCACAGAATCCGAGGCAAATATTTCTGCCTCAGGGTTCATTGAGAAGCCCAGCCTATCACAAAACTTTAAGCATAAATGCAGGCAAAATAAATAAGACTTCTGGTAGTAGTAATGGTCCTATTTATTAGAAAAATAAGCATGGGTCAACAATCTATTGTTAACAGTTCTTTCTAGCACGTCCCTTGTACTCAGTGGTTTTTAAATAGTTCTGCAGAAGAGCGTGGTCTAGACTATCTTGACACATGACTTTAGACGGTCCTTTCATCCCGAGGGAGTGATTCAGGTTTAAAGGCCCAACATTACCTTTACTCAGTCTCTGCTCTGGTTCCTAAGTCTGTGTTCAGGGGGCTGCTAGTGGTGTGGGGTTTGTGTGTGCGCATGTGTCTTTTGTCTTCTAGAGTATTCAAGCTAATGAAATTTTATTCTGGCCAAGAGAGGTCACATTCTCATTTGTGACTGTTACCAGGTTGCTCTAGGGGTACACCACCATGATGGATGTGCCTGGAGGATCCTTTGGGCTTGACTGGACAAAATTGTACATCTGGTGTTAGAAAATGGATTCTCTGTTTTGTAAAGAAAGAGTGCATCTTCTAATGAAAAATTTGTTTTTGACTAAGATTTGCCTGATGAAGGAATTGGTTTTGATGAAAATTATTGCCCATGTGTGAAAAGTAGTTACACATGGTTAGAACATTATGAACGCAAATGGGGACAGGACCTTGTCTAATGGTCCCCAGAGCCTCATTCTGTGTGTTGTGAGAGATGTGGTCACCCTCCCCCGGGGCTGCTATGAAGATACCTACTGTGAGGATGCCCATTCTCTCTTCAAAGTCCTAGGATTTATACCTTGCTTGCTTCAGAATAAAAAACCTATGAAGGCCAGGTTCCACATTGCTATCTGGTATAGGCCAAAGGCTAGAATGTAATAAAACTTAAGTTGCCTCTTTCCATCTCTACATAAAGCAGTTGTTTATTCTGTATCTGTTTTAAACTCCACACAGCTTTAACATGATTCACTAGGGCAAGGTTGTAAAATCTGAGTCAGGGTTGTATACCTGGTGACACTTAGCACACAATACCTTGCCCATAGAAGGTGTTTATTAATTATTTGTTAATTTTTCAAAGCAAAGCCCTCAAGTGAGCAGATCTACACTCTTCATCCGTCCAGAGTACGTCTGTATCACTCTCCAATTGTGAAGCTCACATAATGCCAGACTAGGTTATTTCTGGCTACTGAATACCATCTTCCTGAATCAGTCTGGGAATTTATGGAAAGTAGATTAAAAGCTCCTGAATCCTTTATAATAGTGGTATTTGATTCTTTTTGTAAACAGGTTTGGGCAGGTGCACTATGACCTTGGTCTAGCTCCTGTTTGTGCACCGGGAATAAAGTCCTTGATATAACTCTTCAGCTGCAGCAAAATTAATGTTATTTCAGTCTTCTTTCAGGATCAACACCAGTAACCAGAAAACTTAAGTCCTATGACTAGCTCCTTTTTTTCCTGCAAAGACTGTCATTCTGCTACTGATAAGGTTGGAAATAAGAGCTGAGTACGGCCTGCTTACCAAACCGGGAGGAACAGTCTCCCTGCAAATGCCAACGTTCTGGCAAGTCTCCCCAGTGACCATCTGAATGAGCCACAGCTGGCTTAGAGACAGACCTCGGTCCCTGGAAGGAGGAAACAGTGAAGTAGTGGAGTTTCCTTTGGCAGTCAAAGCACAACCCTAACCCTGTGAGAACACACATGATCTCCCATAGAAGGGGAGACAGGGCCAGGATTGGCGCTAGTCTGACTGCTGAGAAGAGGGAAGAATTTGTCTTTCCTACCAAGATCTTGTACTCCTGTCCTATATGATTGTGCAGGAACTTTTTCTTTACTCAAATTTCTAAAATCTTAGCTACATTTGATTTGATCCTCCTTACCCTGGAATTCGGCCTAGAATAAGTTCTGCAGCAGGATTCCAGTGTCCCTGCTGAGCTCTTTGGTCAACTAAGCAAGAACCAGGGTCTTGCTGTTCCCTTTAGCACACATCCTGTCCTCAGCAAGTTTCCATTCTTCATGAAAGGACTAGGAGGAAAACAAAAACACCAACCTAAAATCTCAGTCTGAGGCAGAGATGCTCACAGATGAGCAGCTTTGGAGCAGAAACAGCATCTTCTGTTACTAGAGAAACTGCTGCCTTCATAATTTTGATCATTATCCTTCATGGAGCCTCGGGAGGAAGAGTCTGATGGAACTTGGTGACTGCATGTCAGTTTTTGTACTATTCTCATGTTCCTTCCCTTATAATTTGTAATGTAGTCCTCACGTCCAGTAGCTTTGCTTAGCCAGATATTGCCACTCAATTGGTCCTGTTAAGGCCTGGGGCTGTGGAATGTGGCTTTGGTATGTAGAAGCTAGTTCTCCACTTGATTCAAATGACCAACCTAGAGGTGGACTCTTTTTAGGAGATTACCCAAGTAAGAAAATGGTATTAATGTCTTTCCAAACTAAAGGAGACAGATAAGGTTTTTCCCCTCTTCAATTTCTTCCTGTACTTTGTCACTGGAGGTTGCAACTTCTGCTTGTGCGGAGAAGACGGCACAGATGAAGGTGAGGACGGTGCCACCAATGGCAGTATAAAAGGCCCAGCCCAAGGAACAGTCGCCAGGTTTGTAGGCAGACGCGTAATGTCCACAGTAGTCTATGGCCTTCTGACAGCCCCAGCCAGCTGGGTAGAGTATCAAACCAAGGATAAGGAACAGACCTGCAGGACAAAACAGAAAACAGATTGTTACTTGATGTGCTTGCTTTGGGCAATGACATCTGTTCTGTAATAGAAGTGTTAAGACTGTTTTATGCAACTAAATCTGACCTGATGAAGAGATATTATGGTATTAGAAATATTTCAGTGACTTTTGTACATATTGGAATGTGAATTGGCTAATAATTTCTCTTCTAGAAAAGCAAATTAACTTGTTAGTATATCTTCCCACAGAGCTCTTACTGCAGTGATCATTTCCCTTTTGGCCTAAGGCAGATGTTGGCAAACTAAAGCCCTCAAGCCCAATGTGGCTTTATGGATAAAGCTGTAGTGGAACACAGCTGTGCCATTCATTTACATATGCCTGTGACTGCGCTTGTGCAGAAACAGCAGAGCTGAGTGGTGGTAACAGACCACATGACCTGCAAAACCTGAAATATTTACTGTCTGGCCTTTTGCAGAGAGTTTGCCACCCTGGTCTAAGGGAGTGAACACAGAACCATCTAGTGTCATCAACCTGGTTAAATGCAAGAAACAGAGGCCATGAATACCAGATCTTAGCTTGATTACGCCCACAGTCTGTTTGCTGGCATTCGCCAAAACCCACTGCCTTTGGCCAGAGATTTCTGTATTCAAATATGCAATTAGAAATAAATTACAAACTTTTAAGGATTTTCTGTCTGGATACTTTTAAGTACATTCGGCCTTGAGTGGACACGAATAAGCTTTGCTTCCATTTTGCTGACCCTCCCGCCCTGCACACCCATTTTTCAGTTCCTCACTGCTGTGCTGCTCACCGTATGACTGGAAGGCACCCACTGGGTTACTTTTCCTGCCAGGCCCCACGAGGCTGAGGTGAGGAGCAGCTCCCTGCCCCTGGGTCTCACGTCAGCCCTGTGCCTGCTTCACCCTGGCTGCCAGCACACAGCAGGAGCTCCTCCTAAGCAAGTACGAAACCTGCAGTGACAGGCGACCTAGGGTCCCAGGTTTTCTGGGTAGAAAATCTTCCATAAAGGCTTTTATTTCCTCTGCATCCAGCCTTTCTACCTGGAAAGAAAAGCCTTTTCTCTGAAAACGACACCTACATAATTAAGATTGATAAACCAAGAAGTCCTGTTTTTTAAGATATGTTGGGCTAACAATTCTGGCCTTCTTGGCTTTAGTTCTATCTTTTTTATTCTTCCGAGATTCTCTGGGTTGGCCACACTAAAGCTCCTAAGTCAGCTGCAGCCACTTTCCCACACAGAGAACATGACTGTTTGTGCAGTAGTGTGAGGTCTGAGGGGGAGGCTGGGGAGAGTGTTTCACGTAGGACGACTTCCCTAGTTGTCCTTCTCGGTGGGGTCCAGCTCACTAGTTGTACTCCTTTGTCTCATTTTTACTCAGATGGCCTCACGGGACTTTTTAGTGGGGGTGAAGGAGAGGGAATCCATTCAGACGCTCCCTGATTCACAGAGTTCTTCTGACCTCTGAGTGGCCAGCGCAGGGAAACTGGGGACTGCTGGCAGGGGACTGGGAGTCTGTTCTCCTAGGCTAAGGTCTCCAGTGGAGACTTTTGGTCCTCCAAAATCTGGACAGTCCTGGCCCAGCAATCTTGCCTTGGAAAGGCTGCAGATCATGTAGCAGAAACACCCCAACAGTCTAGTGGGACAGCGTAAGGCTGGAACTCACATCAGCCTCTCTAAATTAAGAGGTGATTCTGTTAATAGCTGAGAAGTTTGAATCCTGGCTCTGCCCTCTATGAGCTCAGTGAACTTTGGAAAAGTTGTTAACCTAAGTATGATTCCTCACCTGTAAAACGTAAAACTGTATTGACCATCAGTGCAGTTTGCTTTGTAATTAAATATTACAGAGAGCTCATGGGAGAGAAGCCAGTAAAATAATGATGGATACCAATCAATAATAAGGAAACCTGTCAGCAAGAAAGAAAATGGAGGCCCTTGGTTGGTTTATCCTGCTCCAGGCTTCTCTGCCCTGGGGTTTAGAAGCAAACTAGTGCCCAGAATTCCAGAGGGGCTTCTTATCTGCTCATGAAACAGAATCAGGATCAATGACTTCTGAAATAAGCATGGCAGACAACTGCAAGAGAATAGAGTAACACATACAGACTTTGCGTTTTCCTGGTGCTCAATTTGAAGTGCACGTAGGGACTATCTATCGCCTTGTGTGCAGGTTACACCCAGAGGCCAAATGGAAGGCAAGGGTGTTTTGGACTGAGTTTTACTCCAGAGCCAAGCCAGGGGGCGGTCTGCTGTCCTCGGTGCCTGGAGTTAGGCCAGCCTACAGGTCTCCAGGGCCTGGCTCCTGCCTTGCCTCGCTGCACCGTTGTTCGGGGAGGTGTGTTTGTGTGGTTGTATAGGGCAGTGGGCATTTGCTTCTTGCTGACCTCTGGCCTCTCTCCCCGGTGCACAGTGGGGCTGTGGCAGGCGCAGTGGGAGGAGGAAAGACAAGAAGAATGGGAAGATGCTGCTGGCCAGAAACCGGAGCGAGCAGAGCCTCAAAGAAAGAAACCAGAGGAACCTACAGCGCTGGTGCCTCCCACCTTGGCTCCACGGACAGGAGGAGCCTGTCCTAAAAGGTGCTGCTGCCACAACCTTAAAAGACATCGTCTTTGTGTCCTAACAGCCTCCCAGTTTGCTGTACCATGAGAGATGTCAGCTGACCACGGGGTCATGTGAGTCAACCTTATCAGTGGAAGAAGAAAAACCAAAGGAAAAGAAACTGCTGGTTAGTCACTTGGACTGTCCTACTGATGCCACCTCATCTGGAGACGGAGCCTGACAAACTCACAGGCGCCTCCCCCTGACCATCCCTCAGGCGGGCTACACGGCACAACCAGCTCTCCCAGTCCAGCCCTCCTCCACCCCCAGCCGCTTGATCAACCACCACAGGAACTTCTGATCTCTTCAGGGGACCTAAATGTGGCTGGGGCTTAACACAGATAATCGCCCACAGGCTCCATGAGGGCCGGAGCTGGGTCTTCCTATTCCCTGGTGTCTAACTCACAGAAGGCGCTAGGCAGATGAAATACACCAGGAAGAGGGACCTCACGGCCCTGCTTTATTATCAACATTCCTCACCAACCGATCAGAACAGCCACAGATTTATATTCTAGTTAATTTTTTTAAAATATTGCCCTGGAATCAACAGAATATCAAACGTTTTAAATCAAGTCTCTAAGGTGGGAAGAAAAGCATTTCCATAGTCTTGTCAAATCCCTCAGCTTTAGAAAGACTAGGTATTTCTGGATACAATGAACAGTACTGAACTTGGTCTGACTCTAACTCCCTGAAGTTCTGGAGTATGTGGTGCTAGGCGTGGGGGGGCCAAGTCTGTGAAGAGGTGGGAAAGGCTCTCTGGCTCTAGCCGCCTCCTCCCAGGTCCAGACACTCACGCAGTGGCCATGTTCCCACTACCTGCTGGCTGACAGCCTGGACCTCAGGTTTCTTGTCTTTGTGGGTCACCCACTGTGTGTAGAGAAGGCCATTCTTCTGCCTGAAAGCGAACTGCAGGTCGCTCCCGCTGCAGAGTGACGACCTGACCAGCGGGCTCCAGACACCACTCCTGCTTCCTTCAAACAGGTTCCCAGACTAAATGCTACAGACTGACTAGATCTCCGTTTGCAAAGGGCATTTTCTAAGGGCAGGAACAAAAGGAGGCCATCTCTTACTGCTCTAACAACCTGTGAAGAAGCCACCAGCGAGAGACGCACACCTAGTACCTGCACTGAGTCTGATCAGGAAGCTCATTCCAGACACAACTAGGAATTCACAGCAGACAGTTGAGAGCAGACTAGGGATCCTGGGATAAATGTGGGCTCCAGCCAGGTAATGCCTGTGCATGCCCACGTGTCCTTTCTGGATGCAGGGCCTTTATGAGTGGCCATGGTAAGGTCACAGGAGCAGGATGTCATGTTTCATAGGCTGGTGATAAGCCAGGAATCTGGTCATATTATACATGTCCCATTCTTTGAACAGGGGACTCTTATTCATGCTAGTACCCTGAACAGTCATCTAAGTGTGTCCCTCATCCTAGTTCAAATGTTACCTCTGTGAAACATGTGTCACCCCTGCCTGCCAGTCTGCCTGCCAGTGTTAGTCTGTGTTCCCATTGTCCCGTGGACACCATCTTCTGCTCAGCCCTTTACCAAACTATTATTTTTGTGTTTTTATCCAACAGCTATTTATTGAGTTACCTGCTAGGTGCCAGGCGTTGTTCTCAGCCCTGAGGGAGGGCAGTGCCCTATGGGACTCTGGCATCTCCCATGCCCAGCATACTTCCTGACACTTAGTATTGGGACTTGTTGGCTGAATCAATACTTATTACCCTAATAAAACATCACAATTTTGCCTTAACATTTACCGATAAACCTGCTGCGCCCAGCAGTCACACTTAACCTTGAGTAACTAGGGTCAAGAGTTCAAAGTTATTTCTGGCTTTCGAACAGCCAGTGACTCACTTAGGAATATAGCAAGAGACCATTTAACTGACTACCAAACATTCATTCCCCTTCTAACACTTCTCTAAAAACATGAAAAAAGTCTCCTGGTGTTGGCTATCACCGTTAGGTTTGCCCCATGACTCAGAGGTCCGGGCTGCAGACCCAGCTCAGCTCACTATAGCGCAAAGCCCAGAGCCTGCCCTGCCACCACCACTCCACCTGTCCCCTGCGTCCCTCCCCCAGCCTAGGTGTCTCCTAGGAGAGGCCAGCAAGCAGGGGCTTGTCTCCTGTGTCTCATCCCCATTCTGGGACCAGCTCAGATGGCATTCCAGGCTCAGTAGGGGATGACAACATCAAAAAGTACCAAGAGCACTTCATGTAAAGGAAAACTAGGGTAAGAGAGTTATTCTCGCATGAATTGCTGCCAGGGCTCTGCCTTCCCCCAGCCACCTCCCTGGCTTTTCCTTCTCAGTGCCCTCTGCTGTTCTTTCCTACCTCTCAGCCTCTCATCACTGTGAGTCCAGGGCTTGGTCCTTGGTCTGCCACCCTGGTTTAAGTCCCC